TTAAATGTAATCAGACGAACAATAATACTTTTTAAAATATTTTTTTCATAAAACATGGTTATATTTTACCATTGTGGAAGGGCTCCAGCCCGAAAAGTTTCTCCCCGAGGCCTCCTGAGATTATTGTATTATACTATATTTATTATATTATACTTATTGTATTGTATAGTGCTTTGGTATGTTTGGCCCTTGTTGTTTTAGGGTAGTGGTGGCCGAGCGGTCTAACGCGTGTTCACAGCGCCTTGTGTTGCCCGACAACCTGATAAGTGAAATTTTCTTATAAAAAAATTATTACGAGTTCAAATCCTAGTGCTCGGTGTGACTTTTAACTCGGCATAATTTCCCCGCTCTCTCCCCTGACACAGGAAAAAAACCGTGTAGCCTAAAAGGCAAGGAAGGGGAGGAAAAAAAATATTGTTTTGTATTCGTTTACTTCCGTATTTTTTTGGAATTCCTCTGATGTGCCCCAACATAAATGTTTAGTACTTTCTTATCCCCGTAGAATAACTGGGGGGAGAGATGTTCTGAGAGCTCCGAAGGACATTGTTTTGTATAAACTTAGTACCGTTGTATGTTGAGCCCCGAATTGTTTTGTATTCGTTTATTTTCGCTATTTTTTGGGTGACATTCTGATGGGTCCCCAACATAAATGTTTTGCACTTTCTTATCGTCGTTGAATGATTCAGAGGGCTCCGAAGATCGCTATTTTGTATTTAATCAGTACCGTGGCATGTTTGGCCCCGTAATTTAAACATCATATTTTAAATTACATATAAATCACTGAAAATCACTTTATATTTCTATAAAAAATCACACACCTTTGTTCTAACAAGAGTGCCCCACTTCACACTCCAGCGTCCCAAACGGCCAGACCGGGCCTGTTTAAATATAATAATTATAAGTAACAAAATTAAACTTCATAAAGCCTGACCACACATTAATTGATCGATATTATGATAGCATTATCAATGTTTTGATTTATAAACAAGTAAAAATAAATTATTAATTTTCGTTGTGGTTTATAGACCAATTTAAGTAATAAATAATCAATCTTTTTGTTTGTAAGTATTTAAAAAATAAAAACCTTGTTTACTTATAAATTCATTATTAAAGAATTTAATTTTTACATACATTGAACTAAATAAAAAAATGTTGTACTTAATTATAAATCATTAATATTTTATTTAAAAAATAAATAAAAACGGTTTTAGGAATTAATTATATTTATACATTAATTTCTAGACTTAAAGGCAGTGAAAATCTTTAATAAAAAATAACATTTCTTCTAAGAAGGAAATATCATGACGTCAGTAATTTGGTTACTGAGTTCTGACTGTTCTTGTCTGTTTACCTCCCAAACCCACCACTATATTTTGATCTTCAATTCATCTAATGGTAGTTATTTCACACACTTTCTTTAATGATAAATAAAATGTTTTTTTTTTTTCAATTTTCTTAGCAAATAAGTACTTAATCTTGCAGTGCTGGTGTGGTCACGTATGATAGTGTTTTAAAATAATTAAAAATTCGCATCACTCAAATATTTAATTTATATTTCTACAGGACTAGTAAAGAATAGAATGATTTTACTTTAAGATTATCATAGATTTTACTATTTGGAATAGTAAGTAAGATTAAAAATAAAGAACAGATAAATGTTTCAATTCATGAACACTAAGGATCACAGTTTTAAAATTTAATATTATAAATCAGGAGACATTCTTCTGAAAAGTATGAAAATGAAAAACTTTAATGTTAAAAAAAATTTATACAATTATATAATTTCATTATAATTTTTAATGAAATAGACTAGATAAGTATTATTCAGCTATTTTGAGGAAAAACAAAAATGAATGTTTTTTTAGATTCCAGAAAAATTTTTGGACATGAGGAATTGTGATTTTATAAATTATATGTAAATAGAATTTTCTATATCGATGAGTTAAACAACTAGATTTATAACCATTCTGAGTTGTAAGTGTGGATCTTCTACAACGGTTACTTAATTTTATACAAAAATTAATAAATAAAATATTTTAAAAATTGAACCTTTCTAGTCAATTATTCTGAATCTGAAAAAAATTGTCATTGCTTAGTTGTAAATTATTTAGTTTGAATTCAGAAGACTTGTCTATGGATTTAAGATGCTTGAGTACCGAACTAACACACTAAACCAACTTCAGGAAATTTAGCAAATTTCATGTATTAACTGTTCATAAATTTAAATTATTTGTCATAACAAAATAAATGATACTGAGATAGTAATTTTTGCACCATCTTTTCTGAGATTGTAGAACAGTATTCCTTGAACATTCAAGAAAATAATTCATCCTTGAATACTTTTAAAATTATGTATTATTCCTTCACCTATCATCTTCACTTTTGTAATATATATACCTACTACTATAATACATTAATCATTGTATTGATTATATTTGAATAATCTATAACATAACTAATATTATGTAACAGAATGTTTTGAGTATGGATGTGGGTTAAATATATATTTTGAAGAAATTCATTGAAAATACATGTGTATATAATCATAATTTATGTATATATAATCATAACTCTAAGCATTATTTAAATACTGTAAAAAGTATTGAAATGATTGATAATATTGATTTTGTTCAATTTCTAGTGCTTTAGACATCCACTTCCATCGAGTAGTTGTAAACTGAGCAGCAGATATTTTAGAACTGTATAGAATTCTCTGATGAAGGCAAGATATCATTTTTTTTTTTTTTTAATATCTATCTATTCTAAATTGCCTCTCTACTAATTATCTTGAATGAAAAGATCAGCTGTAAAACAAAAAAATATATATATCTTACTAGCTTTACCGGGCCACACGTTGCTGTGGCTCAATCTGGCAAAATAGAAAAGAAAGGAAATACAAAGTACATATCAGTGGCTTAATATAAAAGACACATTTGTAATTTTTAAAAAGTTGAGAAAAAACAGTTTTCTGTAACATAGCTTCAATTTAAACTAATTCTAATGATTTTTTTTTTTTTTTTTCATGGACTAACTTGAACATTCCTAAATAAAATCATCTGAAACAGTTTAAGTTGAACCTATAAAACAAAAATTGATTTTTTTTTCAGCTTTCTGAGAATGACAGATGTCTGTCTTTGAAATGAAGTCACTGATATATTTTCATATGTTTAATTTTATAATTAATTATTTGTGTATTTAATACATTTTTTAATGTTCATCTTTGCTTGATTATTTTATGGCAAGTAAAAAATTGAGTGTTTGTTTGTTCAAAATCTTACATCTTGGAAAGTTCTTCACCAATTGCTTTGAAAGTTTAGCCTTAATGTTGCATACTCTTGTGATTTTATGTGCCTAATGTTATAAAGTATCAAGTAAAACTATATATATTTATTAAACAGCACCATTTGTTGGATATAAAAGCTACACATGCTGTTGAAAAGATTTTATGATACCATTTCAATGTTTCAGATTTAGAAATATTATATGTGGCATCGCATTGAAATTGAGATATAACATTCATCATAGTGTTTCTTTCATGTTCATTAGAGGTGTCTTCCACCTCCCCCGAAAGATTTGACATATCTCCTCCTGATATATTTGATTGATTTCTTTTTCTTTTAAACAAATGATTAAATGTAGAGAGTAGAAAAATAAGCCTTAATCAGATTGCCATGATTACCTATCTACTGTCTATTAGAATTTTTTTTTCTGCCGTTCTCTAAATAAACTCTAAAAAAATTTATTTCTCCTAATTCACTGAAACAATGACTGTTTGAAAGCTGAGATATTGCTCTTCAAAACAGTATAAAAAACTTTTAGGTTTAATGCCCTCAAAAAGAATAAATTAAAAAAAAACCCTAATACATTACTGTTTATATTTCCTATTCCAATATATTTACAGAGACTGGTTTATGGCATTTCATTTAGTTCAATTGGCCCTAAATCTCTGCTAATTTTCATGTAGATAGGTGCTCTTTCAAGTTGTTCAAATTGTTTCATTTCGAAGATAATTCTTATCAATTTCAATGATTTTTTTTTTAATTTGTAAGGAATCCAGGAATTTTTCAAATAATTATGCGTATAATCAAGCAAAAACTGTGTTCTTTTTGAGTTGTTTGCAAATAAAAATCTGAATTCATCGTAACATTTTTTGTAGCTTGTTTTCAGGAAAGTATGTCCTCCTATATACATAAATTAAAAAGGTTCCAATGGAAAGACTTTAGCCAAGTTTTATTAAAATTGTTACCGTTTTGGCATGACAGTCTATAGTGACACGTTTTTTGGCTGCCATTTCAAAACGAAAGGCCAGATGGTGATGAAATGTTCATAAAATCACTCCTTAATTGGAATGCAACGTTGTGTCACAATTTCAAAGCAACCAGTGAAGGAATTTAGGAGATTAGTGGTTTTGAACAAACAAACATTTTTTTATATAGAACTTATTGCAGGACAGATGTACTTTGCCAGAAACCTAGTAGGAGTGTTCACAACAGCTTCCCAAAGTTTCATGGCGATCAGATAAATGGTGTAGGAATGCATGAAGGATAAATAGAGAGACAGATATACATTCGTTTTTATATATATATATATATATATAGAAGATGTAGGGTTCACAATAAAGAAAATGGTATTTACACACATAATTTTACATCTCTAAACTATACTTCTAGAAAATGCCTTATGAATTAGATTTCATCTCTGCGTATAAATATTATTAAAAATATTTTTAAATATCATAGTGTTATGGGTTATTAGCCCCTAACAGAATTATTTTATTACAATCAAACTGACCAATAGCCTTGTGAAGCTATTCAGCTTATGAAAAGAACATCATAGATTTTCCACTTACATAAATAAAGTTAATTAGAGGCTATTATTTTATGCAGTAGAAACTACAGCTGAAATGTAGTTCATAGGTTTTGAGGAATATCTTTCAATTTTTCCTGTTTTTTTTTTTTTTTTAATTTGCCTTTTAAATTTTAATCATTTAAATTATGAAAATCAGAGGTTTTTTTATAATAATAAACATAGGATGATAAAAAATATTTATTAAAATGAGCTTATAAAAATTGACATTATAGCTGTTATTTATAGATTTTATATATTTGTATAATTGTAGTTTCATAACATTTGAACTAAGGTAAGGGATTTTACAACTGTAAAAAAATATTGTGTAGAAAATTTTAGTACCCGCAGTTTAATTTTAAATATTTAAGTTTAAATGGGTAACAAACATATAGCTCATTTGCTCATTTGTAGTATCATTTATAAAAAATAGATATTTTAGATTATTATAAAAAAAACATTCTTGGTTTTGTTGCACATACTGTTTAATGTTGTTTGATTCATTTAATGGATAGTTAAGTTATTTGGGAAAATTCATAAATCATTCACTGAAATTCATTTTTTTTTTTTTTCCATTTATCTCAAAACTGTTAATTATGAAAAATAACTCTTCCAGAAAATGAGGGATACAGTTAATGATAAAGGCTGAAAATTACATTATATTCTTCCTTATCGTTTATCCACATCTTCCTCCACCACCACGGCCACCGCCACGTCCACCACTTCTGCCTCCACCCCAGCCTCCACCACAACCACCACCATATGACTTTCCGTATGACTTTGGAACTTCTGGAGCTTGTGGATAAACATACACTATTTTTTCTTGAACCTTTGGGGTTTCTTTTTGTTTCTTGTCTTTCTTGAGGTCCTTAAACCCTAGTAAATAATAAACCAAAGTAATCTTTTAAATTAAAAAAAACATCAAATAGTTTTTCTAGCTATAAATAAATCCATTTAGTGTGTACTTACAGCTTAAGAATCCAGCACATAGCTGAACACAAAGGATCAAGAGAATGAAGAAAACTGCTTTCTTCATAGCTCTGTTATTCGAATATGATTGACAAGACTCCTTCTGTTGTTGCCCAGTGTCGATATTTATATGATCACTGAATTAATGCATCATGGAACACTTGTTCAAACATTGAAATGTCGTGTGTGCTGATGTCAAAAATTTTGCACATTGAACTCTTGTTTAACATAATTACTTTTGTCATAAACTGGATTTAAGTATAATTGCTGGAATCTGCATTCTTTGCCACAACTAGTTTCAATTTCATATTCAATGTCAATTTTCAAAGCCTACATTACATCATAGATACATATTTGCTTTGCTGTTTCAAGATATATTTCTAAAGATAGATCCAAATGTTACTGGTGTCATATTTTGTAAAATAACACTTTTACTTCTATAAACTGCTGTAACATGTGACTGCTTCGATCATTTTATCATTTATTAGTACCTACCAGTTTATGATACGTTTTTTATTTAAATTGTTGACTACAGGGGCATCTCCCAAAATAATTTAGTGGACTACATTATGTTGGTTGTGAAAAGTTGATTAATTATTGAAATTAATTATTTGAAGATATTACAATATCTTTCGATTTTTAAAAGTTTCACTACCTACCTTTTACTTTGTTTATTTAGTAACCAATCTTTAAATTACAAACAAATCTTTAAAATACAAACAACTCTTTGTAAGTGTTCAGTTTGTAAAATATGTTAGGAAATTGTAGAAGGAATTGGTAATCAATAGAATAAATAAATATCATATTTTTCAAAGAAACTTTATTAGAGATCTTTTCAGCAGGTGTGCCCATCCCCACCAAGGGTGATGGCACAAGCTCTCCTTCGAAGATAATTGATTGCTCTCTTCTTAAAAATGGTGCAAATGAATGTAAACTTATAAAAATTGTAGTTTAGATGCTTCCCTTTTTCCTTGATACTGCTGAATTGAAACCCCACAAACATATGGTCCCTTTCATAAATTCATAATCCTGTAAATTAGGAGGCCCCATAACAATTTTTATGGCGTGAATTGTGTTATGCAATCCCCTTCTGTGTGCCTGTTTTTCAGTATTAACGATTGCCTATCTTTAGATTTTAACAAAATTCTCAATGTTGTATCTGTTAATTCAGCAGAAATTAACTGTTAAATAATTTCAGCATTGGAATCCCTAATAAATTAAAAGATTTGGATGTTATGCCACATCATAAAACCTATTTAATTTAATATGTCTTACAGTCTGTAGCGTTTGTGAGCCCTTGAGGCAAAGTGTGTTCAAGAGGTTCTTAATAGGCCTATGGGAGGGGAGAGGGAGGTTAAATTTTACTCTGTATTCCCACTCTGGTTAGACAAGGTTACAGGAACCATCTTTCCTGCATCTAGAATACATAAAGACGTTATTTTAAACTGTATTTTCAAATTGCACAAATTTTTTTCTGAAACCACTTTATCACCTATCAATATCTATTTCAGCAAGTGAAAATGTAATTAAGAATGGAAGGGGGAAGGAGAGAAATTGGCCTTAAGATTTTTCGAGTTTTATTTAGTTGTTTTTTTTTAAATTCTTTTTTTATTATTATTTTTTTTTGTCTTAACAATCCTGATATTTCTTCACTCCAAAAATATATATATGTTTAAATTTGTTTATTGTATTTAATAAGAATGAAACTTATTTTCAAATTCTAATAATAATTTTAAAATGAACTTTAAAAAAGATATAGGTAAGTGAAAGTAAAAATGATGTTTATTTGACAAAGAAGATTTAGGAAAAAAAATTCAAATCGATAATTTTTGGATGCTCTTATGGTAAATAAACTGTTTCTAGAAAAAGAAAATTAGGAGTTTTATGCAAAAGAAAAAAAACATTGGTAAAAATTAAACTTTTCTTTTTAGTAATACTTTTTATCGGATGAATAATAGTACAACCTGCCACAATCAAAGCCATTGTGCATTAAGGCTTTATGTTCACATAAATGTAAAATATAACGAAAAGTATTCTTTATGAAATCAAGTAACCAGATTTATTTTTTAGAGAAAGTAGTGATTAATATTTTCCATGCTCAAATGAGACGAGATGTACTTAGTTCACATTAAAAAAGAATTTGAAATGACTTTTGCATGAGACTTTGGTCCTAGGGTAGGTGCTATCATCCGTGCTAGGCGATAAGTAGGGTCATTCACTTGAACTGTAAAATTTTGATCGAATGCAGGCCAGTTATGTCCGTTCCGTATTGGTAACAAATAAGTGTCCAATGGATCCGCTATTCGGCTAAACTACGAACTGAACTTACCAGCTTTCCTGGAACTAAACGCCAATATAAACAAAATTTTAATTGCATATTGCTAGTATCTGCAAGTAAGTAGTAAGTATTATATCACTGTATCACATAATGTTGATGTAATAATTTATGTTTAAATGTAATATTAATAAACATTATTAAGTTGTATTGTTAATTTTAATTATTATATACATACATTGAGCACCTATTTACTTCAGTTACTGTTACCCACAGTTTGTTTTGTACATCCCGCCGATAATATTTATCTCGCATAACCCGCCAGGAGGGATATTCTACAGTACTGATTATTTTTTTTAATATTACAGTCACAAGATATTAAACAAAAAAAAGTCACACAACAGAAACTCTTTCTGTAGCTCCGTTTTTCCGAACAACGTATAGTCGACACCCTCCTATTTTGCGATTTTTTTCCTATTTTGAGGCAGAGGTGCCAAGAAGGGAGATTCATGGCGTGAATCGCGTCATCAAAATATTTGATGGGATAATTTTTTGACGGGGTTTTGAATTATTGAGGGGGAAACATTTCGACAGGGTATGAATTCTCAAATTGAAAGGTTTCAAACCATAAGACAAAGCGGACAGATCGCAAATAGTGTAACTTTTTATGATATACGGCGTTTTAAATTCTACTTTCTTACTTGCAGCATTTTTAAGAAGAGCAGAGAAATACAAAATCTTGGGATGGAGGGGAGAGTGGTTTATGCGCCATCGACCTTGGGGAGGATAAGCATCCCTGCTTTGGCGGAATGGTCGGTCGTTCACGTTTAAAACGGACACCCGTTCTAAAGCTACAAGTCTAAATCTATCCTCATCGCCCCAAGATAGAAATCCATTACGACAGATCCTCTTTCAGGTTTGGAATGCAGGAAAGAGCTTGATTGCCTTTCTTCATCCGCATTTGGTGGTGGCTCAATCCTACGAAATTCTTTTTTAATATTTCTTCCTATGAAAATACACACAAGTAAATTTGTTGACGTTAGATTACAACCACACAAGTATATCCTTGTTTGTTGAAATAAGCTCTTTTTAAAGAACTGCCTGTATCGTTTTACCCGCCCTTATTAAAGAATACCAGAGGTGAAGGGACTATTTCATATAAGAAATAATTTTTTTAATCTTTTTAATTTTTCTTACTTGTGGATATGCGTTTGAAAAATGAAAAAGGATCCACTGAGAATCTGCTTGAAGTGAAAAGATCCAGCAAAAATAAACAAGTGTACCATGTTGCAATTCTCCACGTTAAAATAACATTTTACACTTTTTCAAAGCAGTTTTTAAATATGTGCCTAGAAGTTTATTATAAGGTTTACTTTGATAAAACATACTAAAATATTTAAATAATACTAAAGAGAAGATATTTAATGTAGAAATCATGAATACCGTGAATATACTTCATTTTATTGCTGGTCATCATTCAAATTATCGTTTCTCTTTTCCTGCCTAACTGCCCCTTTCATGTTAGGCTTGTTAGTATTTAACTATTGCAAATAAGACTTAGTTTTCTGAATTCCGCTTTACTATTTGTAAAGTTTGTGACAGAATGAGCATTAGTATCACAAGTGTTTCTCACGGGTCTCAAGTGTTACCCATAAGTATTATTTTCTTAAGAAAATACTGATGAGCAGTAACACTCCTGACAGAGCTAGCACATTTTACAAATCTCTAATAATTGAGGTTTTAGGTATTATGTAATTATGCTAGCTGAGAAACAACACCATATACAAGAATCTACTGCCATGGTCCATCTTCCCATAATTTGTGGAAACCATGTGTTTATTTAAGAAATGTTGAAAGGCCAGTGGGGCATATATACCATTTTGATTTCGGGTACTCTATGTTTCTTATAGTGTTTCGGGTACTGTGTGAGTCAGCAATATAATTTACATTTGATTTGTTTTGTTTTTTAGATTTAGTACCAACACATATCATTAAAATTATGGAAATCTGTTGCACAATTATTAACAAATATTGACCATTTTCAAATCTGACAAAAAAAAATTGTATTGTATTCTTATATTTCCCCACTTCGACTACGGCTATTTAGTGTATGGAGGGCTATCTGCCAGGCTAGAAATGACAGTAAAGAAACTCATGAACTGTTTCATAAGATACATCTTCGGGATCCCCAGGAGTTAGCATGTGATCATTCTAGTACACCGAGTTGAAGTGGCTTTATCCTACTTCTCGACGGAAATTCCTCCTTGGTGTTTTCCTTTTCCAATTTCTGAAAACCGAAAACCCTCCCTACATACTGGAACTCCTTCCTCTATCCACTCTCGTAATACTAGGTCTCAACCTATAGATTTATATTTCCCCTCCCATAACACTACTTCCTTCAGCAAATAATTCGTCATTAGAGCTACCTCCTTTTGGAACTCTCTTCCTAATTCCATACGTCAATCCTCGCCCTCAAATTCCTTCAAAAAACTCCTGTTCCACCACCTACTCTACATTCAAATTTCCGCTAAAATTACTTGTATCTGTATACTGTGTAATTTCAACTATCGCACAACTGCAATAACAATAAGCAGTATATCAGCTTATATTTTTTATTATTTTAAGCCAGACTAATACCCATAAATTTTTAACACTGTTATTATTCTTAGGGGACTGTAGTCCCAGAAAGAAATTATTTTTTTTCATTTTTATTCATTCATTTTTCACACAGACATACACACAGACCATTTTGCGGGACTTTGTTGTTTGGACTCAGGGAACCTCAAAACGTATATTTCCGTTGAAAACTAAGATTCAGAAATTTTC